TGTATGACTGATAGCAGGGTACAATGCTTGGTCAAGCAGCATTCAGGACATAATTGCCAAATGTACACCTGCTTGAACATAGCTGTTACTCTATGTGGCTTGACTGAAACTCTATAACCCCCTATGTTTTAGTTCAACAGCCATTCTAAGGACCCTTTTAAAGGAATGGTAATTCTGGTTGCTGTTTAAACAGCTTTCCTGAATAGTTTCTGGCACAATCAAAAAAATACCCGTGCTAAAACTTGTAGTCTAGATATTGTAGCCTGGAGGACATTCCCAGAGATGGGAGTGGAGAACTCAGGTTTTTTTCTTTGTAAGAAATGTTGCTCCACAAATATTCAACATGACACAGCATAGAAATACATAGGAAAATACAGACAACACCAAAATCCAAAAGGATTCTGAAGTGTCAAAGTCAATGTGAAGAAGTAATAGTAATACCATAATGGCTTTTGGTTACATCTGTGTCCACAATAGCGATACTCAAAGACCTATTTCTAAAAATGTCTGATAAAAAATTATGATGATCATTTAAGTGACAGTTTTTCCTTTCTTAGTGGTACCTAAACTGGTGATATGCCACACACTCTATAATGCCTTAATGTCAGCAAAATAAGGGAGACATTTTAGAGACTATTTATCTGTCCCAGCTCTCATGTTCTTTGGAAAAGGAAGCAACAAATGCACATAAAGAATAATAGAAGGCAAAGCAGAGTTACTGTCCCTAAAATAGTAATAACTAAAAAGTTTTGGACACTGAGCAGAGGAAGAAAAGCCATGAGGAAAGACTCTAGGAAGAAAAAGCACTGAAAAGCATTGAAGAAAGGGTAGGATTGAGTGGATGACAGGGACAGGATGGATAGAACAAACAGTAAAGAGGATGACCAAAGAACCAAACACGAAAAATGAGGGACATCCTGGGGAAACAGCAAGTAGCATATTTTGACTATAGGCTTTACTACCCTTTTTGGCTTTACAGGCCCCTTTAAGAATTTGAAGAAGTTGAGTGTTGTGGCACACACCCATAATCCCAGCATCTGGCAGCAGGGTGAGGGGGGGATGGGGGTGCTGAAACAGGAAGATAGCCATGAGTTCAAGGCCAGCCTGGACTATACAGTGAGTTCAAGGCCGGCCTGAACTACACAGCAAGACTCTGTCTCAAAAGAAAAAAAAATTTGATGAAAATCGTGAACAATGTTCCTATCGATAAAAATACAAATTCATAATTAAAAAGCTTTGCACATTATTTCTGTTCACAGGTAGCATGAGAGAGGTGAAAGAGACCAGGAAAGTAGTGGAACAAGTAGTCTATCTAGACATCACATGAGAGGTTAGTGAATATGATCATGGCTGCAGAAGTCCCTTTCTAAAGGAGAGACTTGCACCTGACTGCACATAGGAAGAATGACTAAGAGAAATGGGTTCCAAGGTCAGGAGGACTCACCCAGACTGCTTACCCAGGGATTAAAGACTCTGGTACAGCCTTAGAAATTATTCCTGCATCTGATTGGATCATAAGGGCTTCTGACCTGGTGAAATGACATCTAAATATTTAGATGGGAAATAAAATACACAGGCACAGATGGATGCCAGGGCCTTATTAGAAATGACCTTGATTGCCTCCCCTTCATGTACACCAGATTTTATAGTTAGCTCAGGGAATACCAACACATGATGCAGGTTGCTGAGAGAAATGGCTGATCAGAGCCCTGGTTTAGAAAGATTAATCTTCAGATTACAATTATGTGAGAAAGGCTGGGAGAAACAAGTTAGGAGTTTATTGCAGTTGCTTTTTATATTCTGCAGGTACATTCTACTTATTCAGTTTCTCCAGCTCTCCCTACACCCACCATTTGGCAGCGATCCAGGCCTTTAGTAGGCATTTGATAGCATTTGCTGAAGTGAAAGTCATCAACTCACTTGGAAAAAAAATTTTTTTTAATAAATAAATTCACTTTGAAGCTCCCCTTGTAATGTGTCTATTCTTCGATAGGTGGCACCATTACTGCGTTATTTACGGAGCAAGATTCCTTCCATAAGCACAGCACTTCCAAGCAGAAGTACTATTTTTTGGGGGAACTCATCTTCTGGGGACAATTTAGAAGTGAGAAAAAATAGTAGCTAGAATAAAATATTGAAGGACACTTCTTTTACTCTTCTATTATGTCTTACTATTTCTTATCATTCAATAGTTCCCTGCCTGAATTTCTAAGCATGTAAATAAGGAAAAGTGTTTACGAAAACCTGCCTTTTCAAGGCAAATGATTGTATGACTTTCAAGTACAGACACAAATGCATTTGGGGAAGAACAGCTGCTTTGTTCTGGGAAAACTTTTAAGTGACCCATTTCATTACATTAATCAAGGAGAAAATATAATCTACAATGGTACTAAGATCATACCAAACTGTGTGTTTATGTTGGAAGCCATCATAAGGAAAATAATTCTCTCAGAACAGATTTTGGCTGTGCCAGGCAAAAGTTGTATCTAATTTCTATGGAGGTGCATGTGTATTCATTTTGAGATTAACTGCTAAACTCTGAGAGGGTAACATCTTAAGAGGATGACCAGTGAGAGAGGGGAGTACCAGGTGAGAGTGACAATGGGATACAAGTACTTGCTGTGTTGGATGTCAGCCCAGTACAAAGACATGGAAAGGTCACCTCCCTGCCTCACATACATCAACAGTGGTCTAGCAAACCTTGAATGGCGGCAGACTTGCAATCAGTGGGAGACAAGATTTTTAGTACGTGATGTAGATCAACAGATTAGAATTTTTTTACAGCAGATTTATATGTAAATTTGAATTCAGTGTAGGAAATACTGTGGAAGCTCTTGGAAGCATCAGGTTCATTTCTTCTTTGATTCGTTTCAAATTAAAAAGTTTCATTGCCCTTTAGCTCAGTGGTTCTTACCTTTTTTACTTCATTCTTACATTGCAAGGGACTTTCTCTCTAGAAAGTGTATACACTTGCACTCAATTTCAAGGGGTTGGGGCCCCCTGAATTTCGGTAGTGACCCTTGCCCTTGAGTCTCTGGTTAGAAATCCCAGCTGAAATTCACATGTTAGGAGCATTCCAAACAGGAAACATAAGAGGCCAGGAAGGGAAAAGGAGGTCAGATGTCCAGAGAAACCTGGGCTGAGTCCCTGTGAGATGGTGGTGCTGGAGACTGAAGAAGGTGATGAATGCTCTTTCTAGAGAGATTTTTCTGTCTCTGGACTTGGGAGCATAGTCAGAGAATCTCTAAGAGGCCCTGCATTACGGAACTAGGGCACATTTAGAACAGTGGGTGTAGAAAGGAACTGAAATGAAGGCCAGGGTTAAAGGACTCATCTAGAACTTTATCAAGGACTAAACTGCCCTTGAGATTCACTTCACATAATAATCTGAGCTACAGGGAATAGGAAGGACAGTGAGGACAGAGCTGTGTTGGAAGTGTCTGGGAGCATCAGGTTCTTTCTCTCATAGAACAGATCAGGGAAGCCATCTGCTTGGTGTTATTATGTATTGTCACCCATTGGACTCTGATAAAGGTCACTAACCAAAATCTGAGCTGCAATTTCTTACCCAAACTGAGAAGATAAATTAATTGAGATTCTCTTTTACAGGATTATTTTAGGCTCTTGATTTAGGGAACTGAAATCTCTTCTAAAGATCCAAATGGAACAATTAGCTGAGTGTTTTATATTGAGAGCTCTCTAAATCAGACAGGTCCAAGTCTTGGCTTTGCCAAGGGCCAGTCTTTGACCTTGAGCACGCTTTGGATTTAACTCTGAACCATTGTGTGAAAATAGTAATAGTCCTTCAGATAAAACTGGGCATATACTAAATACGCAACAATAAATATTATCATTCTTCCTATTAATGCTGAATTCTGGAACCGTAACAATAACCTTTCATCTCCCAGTCCTCAGGTTCTATACTCTGACTGCCCTTCCTAGGGTCCAAGAACATATTACTGATCATTATATAGCTTGAAGGTTTCCCTGACCATCCTTTCCACATAGGACTGGTCCCCAAGAACTTTTGGCTCATAAGTTATGTGACATTTAAGACAAAAAACTTTTGCTAAGCTTGTAAATCTCACCATGCCCCTTTCCTTACCCTGAAAGATAAGGGCTCTTCAGATAGGAAAAGAATATATTAAAATAAAATTTCTAGAACCTTCTCAGGTTTGGTTTTGTTTTCCCAGAGAAGCCAGTCACCAACCACCCCACCCCCGACTAATATTTGAACAATCTTTCCAAGGAGGTCTTATATATATTTCTTCACTTTTTAACTCTATTTTATTCATCAGTAAATTAAATGGTGAACCTCAAATTCAAACTTACATCAGTGTCACCAGTGCTGTTTCTACCTCTCTACAACAGGCAACAAGTATACACACACACACATACACACACACACACACACACAGACATCTTAGCTTGTTGTACTCTCAAATTTTGTTCTGGGGAAAACTCAGGAAATCTCCATTGCCCAAGGGAGCAACCTAGAGCTGATGTCAGTCTCTGCTCTCTGGGGAACACCTTACCGGCATCCTCCACTAGAGGCCTTAGGCAGTTATTGTGGTTCCCTTTATGATGTGTCACGCCCAGAAATCCTGGGCAATCCCTCCAGAACAATACCCTCCACTCACCCTTCTGTGAACAGGTGTGCTGCCTGCTATTCCAGGACTTGTATATAGAAATCATCTCTTCATTGAAAAGAAATCTCTTGCTTGTGTGGAGTGCCAGCTGTTGTTAGCCTGAGAATCTCAGCATATACCCTCATTTTTCCCAACCCAGTTTGAGAACAAGATCCAGGGCAGAAGAAAAAGCAGGCAGAGTTTTCAGTGTTTGTCCCAGCCAGGGCAGGATCAGTCAACTCCTTGAAACTGGAGGCACAGGAAAGGAGGAGAGAGGAGAGAAGGCAGAGTTCCCACATTTCCCACTAAAACCTGGTCCATGCAATGGGCCCAGTAGCCCCCCATGACATTTCCTTAGTACCAGTCAGCAAGAAAGGGAGATGACAGCTTTTTATTAAGGTTAACACCAAGAAAAGCATTGAGAAGAAATACACAAAAGAGGGGGATGGGCACGCGAAGTTACCACTTCAGAAGTAGGAGGGAGGCACATCAGTTAAGGAATCTCAGGACAACCACATGCTCCATGCCCTGATTGGGAAGGAGGAAAAGGGAGAAGAGAGAGGAAAGTGCCATTATAGTTTGGGGTTCCCAGAAGAGTCTGAAGCCCTCTGAACCTAACACCAGAGCCACAAGCCCTGCCCCTCAGGGCTCACACACTACTACACAATTAGACACACATAACACACACAAGACATTATGGAGGCAACACCGAGAGGCAGCAGGCAGGGACATATTGACAGAAAAAGGAACTGAAGTTAAGCAGGAGTAGCCAGGAGACGTTTTTGGCTGAAGCCCCAAAAGTCCCTCAAATGTCCCCTAAATCTGGGCCACTGCTGAGCACCCCCAAGTCTCTGCCTATGGACTGGGCTCTTTGTTCTCTAAGCCCCAGTGAGTGAAAAGCAATCCCAGATGAAGTCAGTGACAAGGCAGGATCCGTTCTGCATGCAAAATCCTAGAGGTTGAGCTATTTTGTCTTCATGCACATTCATAGCCAGCTCCTCCCAGCCCTGGGACCCTCAGAACCCCATTCACCCAGATTCTTGTGGCTGCGGTTCCCTCCTCAAGCTTTCTTTACCAATCAGCAGCTGCAGAGATCTGTGAGGGGGAGAGGCTTCTGCAGAGAACTGAACATCTTGGATTTCAGTAGAAGGGTAAATTTTCTGTTGCCAGAACAGAATTCCCCCAATGCCTCAATTTTAGGTAAATCGTTAGACATTATTTGCCATAGTCCTAGATAAGTCCTTTTTCAGAATAGAAAAAGCAGATTTTATTTACATAATTCAAGGGTTCTCCTGTTGCCTGCGGAGAGGAAAAGGGTAAGGAGAGGGGATGGCTGGGGGTCCGGGAGATGGGCACTTCCTTTCCCAGAACCTCACCTTTCTCCAGTTTGCTATCACGCTTGGTTGGGCAAAAAGAATTCTTGTTGCTCCCAAAGTCCTTCACCCTACCGATGCTTCCTGGAGGGAGTCTCTACGCTTATACACAGGGACAGCTGTCGGAGCGAAGCATGCTGCACCGCGTCCTTCAGTCGCCTCGCGTCATGCACTCAGAAGTCCCAAACCAGCCCGGGAAGTTAGTTAGTCCCTTCACAGGGAGGCTTCGCCCTCCAGCTGCAGCAGGGTAATGTCAGGCAGGTCGAGGGGCTCCACAAGTGGCCCGTCCCCTCCAAGAAGACCAGCACAGGGGCTCTTGGAGCGCTCACAGTGACTGGTGGGTGTGGCAGGGCTGGGCATCTCTTTTTCCTCTTGGTCGTCCTCCTGGTCCTCGAGGTCGCGACCCAGCAAGCCGCTGTCCTCGATTCCAGGCGAAGGGGTCTCCGGCTCTCGGGGGGCACCAGGGAAGCTCCCCTTGCCGCCGACCACACCCAAGCCGCCTTGGCGGGGCGCCGTGGTTATAATCTGGCACATGGAGACGATGGCCCGCTGGTTGGCACACACGTCGTCCGAGAGCACCTGGATGTGCGAGGCCTGCTCGTCCAGGGCCCCTCGCATGGCCCTCACGTCCTCGAACAGGGCCTGCAGCTGGGCCTTGAGGTGCTCCATCAGTTCCTTCATGCCGCCGTTGTACTCCCCGGAGATCACGTCCCCCACGGCCGGCACGGTGGACACCTCCAGGGGCACCGGCATGTCGCCGCCGTCCTTGGTCCTGATCTCCAGCAGCCCGTCCTCCATTGAGTGGCAAAGCGGGCAGTGGCGGCTCTGGGTCGCGTCCAGCCGGGCCTCCGCGGTGGGGGAAGGGGTGTGCAGGGGGACAGGACCCCGAGGGGCAGGGAGGAGCCGAGGGAACCGAGGGCTCCCCAGAGGGACCAGGAGCCGACGGGAGGAGCCGCCTCCCGGGCGGAGGGCGCGCGCGGGATCGAGGGAGGCCAGCGAGAGGCGGCGACGGGACGCAGACCCGGCGCGGGTCCCAGGGCCAAGTCTCCGGGCTCGCCCCGGGCCAGAGCGCCCTTCCCCGCCTCACCTCCCGGCCTGCGCCCGTGTCCGCGCCGCCCTCCCGGCACCACGAGCGGAAAGTGCCTGTCGGGAAGTGGCCCGGGCCACGGGAGGCGCCCGCAGAGGAGCGGCTCGAGGCTGAGGCTGCGGCGCGGCGCGTAGGACCCGGGACTCCCCCGGCTACGAAGGCAGCGCCCTAAGAGTGGTTGGAGCGGCCGGGGCGGGTCTCCCCGCGGCTCCGTGGATGCTCCTCTGTTTCCAAGGCGACGCACGGCACGTAGTGACGTGTGTCTCCATGGTAACCAGGAAGTGGAGAAGAAAAAGAGGAGGATGGTGAGGAAGCTGCAGTGGGGCTCTGGTGTCCGGGCTAGCGGGTGGGGCGAGGACTCTGCAGTGGCCTCCGCCGAGGCTGGAAAGCGCGTGGGGCTGCAATGTGTCTTAGGAAGAGAGCAGTTTGCCGCAAAACCTCTCGAACCTGGGAGAGAATTTCCCTGTCCCAGTGTGCATGTCAGATGCTGAGATCGACTGTGTGCGAAGAATTTTCACCTGCACCTAGCATTCTTCTCGCGGGGATGGCGCTAAAGCGAAGTCCTGATTCCTTGTCCTCCAGCTGTCCGCAGAAAAACGGAGTGTTGAGGCCGAGGCTATTCGTCCCAGACTCGAGCTGGGGCGCGGTGGCGCTCTGGAGCCAGCCCCTTCAGCCCGGGCCGTGCAAAGGTTGGGAAGGGCAGGTTCTGCCTCTCCCTTCGGCTCCTGCAGTAACCCAGCCCTCTTGCCAACGAAAATACCGGAGCTCAGAAAGAACAGGATTCACACGGGGGACCCAGCAGCTCCTAACCAGGTCATTGGGAGCTTGTCCAGAATGGTGAGGCTGAGTACTTAATTTTTGAGAATGAAAGCTTCATACAGCTAGAAAATTTTGTCTCCCCAGCACCCTCCATCATGGAATCACCAGCGCCTAAAATAGTATCTGGCACGTAGTAATAAGTAAATGCTTAACATGTTTGTTGAATGACTACTTTTAACAAGAACCAAGTTCCATTACATCATTCAGAACTCTCCACCCCACATGTAATAGATTTTAGAAGACCTGGATTCAGTTTCATTTCTTCGACTTACTGATCCAGAGATCTCAGCTAAATCATTTTACCGATCCTTAGGGATTGGATCAGATAGTTTATAGTGGTATTTCTAACTTTGAATAGCACATGACCTCACAAACGAAAGGGTAAACTGTTGACAATTACTGGGGGAGAATAGACAAAAGGACTGTGAGGGCCCCTGCTTGGTGTTCACAGAGTGTCCCCTGCCTTTGTGACTTTCTCTTCCCTTGTTTGAAGGATAGAGCAGGAGACACAGAGGACACAGAGGAAGCAGTCATCCTGTGGGCAATAGCATACTAATTTATAACTACCTTAATAAATCAGAAAAACCAAGTAACTGGAAACCAAAACTAAAGTTCACAAGAAAAAATATATCTGTATTACTTAAAAATAGAAGTGAAGTATCAGTGAGTGGTTTTTTGCAATATTTATGATTCAACAATTGCAAACGTGTTACCTTGTGCTTCCCAGATTGTGTGGTCTTGTGCCAAAGTATGACTGGCCGGGAAGAATTTTGTCACTAAATTGTTTGGCCTATGCCTATGTTACTGCTATTAAAATAAAAGCAAGTTGAGAATATCCTAAGTGTCCAAGAGAAGAATATTCAAGTAAATAATGTTAAGGCATTATGCCCCTATTAGAAATTTAAAATAAAATTAAAACACATTTAAAATGACTCCAACCTGTCTGTTTGCTCATTCTTTCCCTCATTCTATAAACTTGTGGCACACTCATTTTGGTTACCCTTCCTACCTCTGCCTTTTGTGCTAATAATAAGCTTCAGACTATTCCTAAAGGTCAGAAGACTACTACTCTAGCTCAGAAGAGTAAAATGCTTTTTTAAAATTCAGTCAGAAGGGGCTGGTATTTATAAACACATTAGAAAACTAGAGTTAGAGGCAAAGAATGTAAAAAGAGCTGAGCTGCACAACATAAATTTCTGATCCTACTACAGCAAACACATTCTCAGGACTCTCATAGGTTCAACTCTCCTGCCTATCCTTCCCATTAGTGCCCCTCCATAGCCAAAAAAGCCTGGCATGGTTTTCAGGCTTCTTGCTTGAGTTTATTTCTTCACATCTCTTGAAAAGCACTTCACATGAAAGACATTTTGCCTTGTCAGTTCTTTTGCCCTTCAGGTGGGTTCCTGCCTTCTGTCTACAAAGTGTGATCTTGTATAAGGCCTCCCTCATAGTTCTATAAACTTACATTATACCCAGCCCTCATAGAGTAGGAGCTGGCTTGTGCCATCACACAGGCCCTCTGCCACTATTGTTAAGGATACCATGTGTCAAGACTTTCCACATCAGATTACATCACACCACCCAGAGGTGCTGGCATGCAGTCCACAGAGAGTACAGGGGGTCTGAGCTCAGAGGGAGGGGAAATTATTGAAGAAGCACCAAAGGCCATGGGAAACAGGTACAGAGATCCAGGGGTGTGGCTGATCCATTCAAGTTCCAGGTCAGACTTTTGAGGGGGTGGGTGGAAACTGAGGGAGTGATGCTGAAAATACAGGGAGGGGACATATATAGAGTGCATCAGATTTAGAATCAAATCATGCCCAGAATTCTATGTTAAAATTATACAAGGAAAAATAGACAATTCTAGTTTTGTATTTTTTTTAACTTTTTATCAGTACCAGGGATCAAACTCATGACCTTCTGCTTGCAAGGCAGGTACTTATGCTGCTGAGCTAAATCCCCAGGCCTGACAATTCTAGTTTAAGGAAAATAAAGGGAACTGATGGAGAGAGCCAAACTGAGCCTCTATCAGCTGGCTGGATTGTAGGACTAGGATCTCTGGATGCCAAGGCCTTGATGTGTGGGTCTAATCCTAAGCAAAGAGGCTGGATGGTACATACCCTAGCCACCCTACTAGAGCATCCAGAGAAACTGCCTCACAGAGAAAACGACCCCTGCATGGTCTTCTACTTCCTCTCTTATCCTCTGAGAATCAGCCGCCTTTTCCTTCATCTAGCCTATAAGAGACGGCAATGATGCATGGGATTAGGTCTCTATCAGCCTATAAGAGACGGCAATGATGCATGGGATTAGGTCTCTATCAGATATACCAATCCCAAGTATCTTGTTTTCACCAAAATTGAGATTCTTAATAGACCTTGCCATTTTTCCTTTCTGGTATTTAGTTATCTTGTCTCTATTTTTTAACAGCTGGTATATTTTTGCACACTAAATCTAAAGAAGTTGCTCACTTGACTCAGGACTAGAACAAAGAAGTAATTCAAACTATAGTAGTGACTGCTTCACCTTAGTCTAAAATCCCAGATAATACTTCCAAAATGTGCCTTATGAAGCTGTACTATCTTGTGACCCATCTCATTACAGTATCATATTCAAAAGAAACCAATCCAGTAACCAAAAAAGAATTAGAAAAACAATTCAGATTTTATGATAGTCTCCAAGAAAACTATAAAGGGGGTTACATTTCTAGTGCAAAGCAAACATCTTCTCTCCCCTTCTCCTCTCTACTTAATCCGCTCATTATGGTGTAGCCGTTGCTGCTGGCTTGTCCTCTAACACCTCAAGCCCTTGCTCAAGCCCGCCCCTTTCCCCCTTCATCTCTGCCATGTATTATTTTTCTCTCCTGCAGGAAGGAACTCTAATGTAAATGTGTCAGTCTAATGTAAATCAGTCCAAGCTTGTTTTGGCTCTTGATTCTGTTCCTCATTCCCCTGTTTGGACAGGAACAGCCCTAGCTGTCAGATACTGACTTCTCAGACAGAAAATATTGGAAGGCTGAGTTTATCTGTCACATAAACTAGATCATCTCTACCCCAGGCAGTATCTTGCCTGGTTTAACAGCCGACCTGCTTGCTTATCTTATGTGTTCAGAGAAATGGGCATGGTAGTCTGCCCTGGGTCCTTATGAGCCTCTGACCAGACTGGCAGAATCCAACTCCTCACCCCCTCAAGAGTCTTTAGTGTCACATACATGACACAGGGTGCCCTCCCATAGCTCACCTAATGCCTGCATCCAGTTACGTGCTCTGTTAGCTCACAGTATCTTCAAAGCCACTCTTGTGCCTTTCTTTCTCCTCCTTGATAACTTTACTCAGAGCAGAAGTTCAAGAGAACTTTAAACTTCTCATGAAGTCTGAATTTCCACTGAACGTAATCCTTCATTACAAACCTGTTTCACCTATGTCTACCCTTCCTCCCGTGTGTTCCCACTCACCAACTTCTTCAACACTCGCTTGAAGAGACATCTTCTCCACTTGTATCTTGTGCCACTGTGGCATGGAGGGCTCCAATCCGAGTCTTGGTAGGGATTCAGCTACAGACTCAGGAGCATTGATCCCTAATGTGGGGCCTTGTGCAATTCCCAACCTCTCTGTGTGCTTTCTGCCCCCAGAAATTTATCATTCTTGCAACAGCTCAGCCCTTACTTTGTCCAAACCAGAATCCTTATCAAGGACTGGTAATGCTGAGAATACCTAAACTTTCCAGTTTAATAGAGGCAACTTAGCTTGACAAATTTCTTCTCAAGAATTATCAGTCCAAACTAGAATAATTGTACCCTAGTTATCCAGTAAAAGATAGGAACCACGATATATGTGTTACAACTTCAGTTAAAGAAAATTTTACATGTTTACTGTTCCTCAGTGCTGATTTATGCCAGCACTGGCCCCTTCTCGCTTGTCATATCTGAAGGTAATCTGCGGTTGTTCATCTTTAGCATTTCATACAAATTGTATCAGTATCAGCCTTCCAACACATGTGACCATGCTCTATCTTTCTCAGAGCCCCTAAAACTAGTAGTTCCCTTTGGCTGTGCAGTAGTGTCTCTAGGGACAGTAAGGTATTGTGGCTACAGTTTAGCAACCACTGCAAAGATGCACTTTGTTTCTATTCTGCAAACACAAAGGGAGACTAAACTAGTATGTGTGATGATGTAAACAGGGATCCCATGTCTAATTTAAGCTGATGTGGTGGTTACATGCTTGTAATTCCATCACTCTGGAGACTGAGACAGGAAGATTGCCCTTGAGTTTGAGTCCAAACTGGGCTGCATAGTGAGTTCAAGTCTAGCCTGAACTATGCAGCAAGCTCCTGCCCCAAAACACAAAAACGGGCAAAAAAAAAAAAATGTAATTCATGTCTTTGAAGAACCACAGAAGCGCTGGATCTTAGGCAGAAGTGAGAAAAGGCATTCTTCCAACTTTTCTACTCAGGTTCTCAAGTTCCTGTTTTAAGAAGAGTTGTATGAAAACAGCTTTGTCTTCTATGGTCAACCACATTTTCACAGTTTAAAGATATTATGACTGAATTTCTGGGGTTTTTTAAAGGCAAATGACCCCCTTCATATCAAAATTCTCTAATCTGTTCACTTTATGTTTCTACACATAGGTTCTCATCTTTCATTATCCTGTATTTGCCTTATTAACTATTTTTCAACCCCAACTGGAATGTGAGACCCGCTGGGAATGGGTTTTGCTTTGGTCACTGCCATACCTTCAGAAGTTATAATGTTGTGGTTTGGGCCTAAAATGTCTCCCAAATGACTCAGGTTTGGAGGTGGGGCCTTAAAAAGGGGGTGGGTCACTCCATGTGTGACTTGGAAGATGTGGTCTTGTTCTTGGCCTCATTTCTCAATGTGTTTCCTGCTCTTGTGGGTCGAGCAGCTTTCCCCTGCCAGACCTTTCTGCATTCTATTTCTGTCCTGGAGCCACAGTCTGACCAAAGACTTAAACTTCTGAAACTGTAAGCCAAAATAACCTCACCTCCTTTAAGTTGAAGGTGTTAAGTATTTTGTCCAAGCAATGAAAAAACGACTAACACAATG